TATATTATACTATAATATAATAATTATAGTATTATATTATACTATAATATAATAATTATAGTATTATATTATACTATAATATAATAATTATAGTATTATATTATACTATAATATAATAATTATAGTATTATATTATACTATAATATAATAATTATAGTATTATATTATACTATAATATAATATACTATTATAGTAATATAATCCAAAACTAACAGAAGCTAAAACTAGATTTCAGAGTGAAATCAGAGAGAATCTCTACAACAAAATAACACCTTATGCCTAGTTTTTCTACTACTCTTATTCTCATATTTGCCTTATTTCGGCATTATTTCTTTCTTTAATTTTTACCTTTTCTGAGACTCTGAGAATTGACTCTACTATTATTTACCTGATAACTTTCTCCAAAACGATTTTATACCAATTCACTCATTATGTAGCTTTGCATTTAGTAAATATATCCATGAACTAATGCAATTATGTAATGTGTATGTCATTATATATTACTGTTTTATAAAAGTTTGTCAACATATTTCCTAGAATAATCTCACCGATTTGTACAATACTCTCATAACTAGTAAACATTTATGCTGACTCCAGCCTCTGTAGTAGTGGAGCTGATGTTGCCTTCAGACTAACTACAGGGAGGTGACTCACAAAGGTGAAAGCTGGGGAGCCATGGAGCTTAAACTAAGAGTCACTCAAAATAAGTAGAAGAAAGTACATAAGAAGCTAGAAACAGAACACTTGAATCTAGAGTCCAAGATGACTTGGAGGTTTTGAGATAGGAAACTTTAGGGCAAATCACTTCAGTTTTGAATTGAGTTTGGTAGTTCCTACATTAGGGGGTGGATTTTCAAGAACATAAGAAGGACAATGTTTCTGCCTATCATTTCTTATACCTAAAAAACAACCGGGCTATTGAATGAGAATAATGTCCAATATCTTGCTGCTGATACTTCCTATTTTTTTCCTCCTTATCTTTCCCTTTCCCCTCCCCATCTTTCTCTTTTCTCTTCCTCCTCTTCTTTTTCTTTCTGTAACTAACTTCTTAGTAGTTATTTAGATGTAAGTTTTCTATTACCTGCATAATTTGTCATCTCCACAAGGGACTACATTCAAACCATCTTTGAATTTATAGTACTATACTGATACTTATTATCAAATATTTAAATCACATTTTGTATTGCAATCTTCATCTGATAGCTTATAGCAAGCCAAATTTATTTCAATAGTTAATTATGAAATAGGTAGCTGCTGCTTTGATAGTATGAAAAGTATCACAAAGTATATTATTTCAAAAGAAAATTATAATTAAATGCCAGTTTCCAGCAGTCACATACAAATCTGCGTATGATCTGCCAGTGCAGACAACCCTTACAGTGGTCTTGAAAATCATGTATCAAAGATAACAGATCCACAAGATGGAAAGAGCTTAGGCCCCTAAGTCACTACTTGGAGGAGAGCCATTCATTTGGGTGTACTTCTTAGGGCTCACAGCTGAGCAAGAAAATAAACCGTGTGGTTAAACAACTGAGTTTTTTTAGTTTGTTGTTCATAGGAGCTGGCCTATTGTGTTAGACTTAACAAATATCAGTAGAATGACAGACTGAGTCAATAAATAAATAAATGCTACTACTCAACATTTGTTTCTGCTGAGAGAAGCCTACATTTTTTTAGTGCTTTGTTTTTTGTCTCCAACTTAAAAAGCCTGACTTTGGAGATTGTAAGAAATAAACTGATTTAAGACTGCTTCATATAAAGTATCTTTTATGGGTGAAAACCAAGAAGCATAAAAACCTACTGCTGTGATGTATGACAGTTCCCATAGGTATACCATAGGCCAAGATTACATCAGCAGCTAAACCAGACCATATTTTCTGATAATGTAGAAAAATACACTTAAATATCCTGTTACTGAAAAAAAAAACTAAATTTTCTTTGAAAATTTTGAATATCAAAATAGAAACATTAGACCTAGCTTGCATACTGACTAAAAATCAATGTCCTAAAATTGTTGAGTGCACTCAGAATTATCTGGTATGCTGTCCAAACTTGTTTCTGAAAATATATTTTGGATGTGAGGTATAAGTCCCCGATTACTTATTTATCCAAATTGCTAAATGTTTATAAGACTTCAAAGTAATTTATTTAAATTAAAATTTTCATTTTATTGAATTATTACTTTCTTTAATCTTCATAACTTTTTCTCTTAATTCTGAACTCATAGCATTTGAAGTGCTATAATAATAATTATCTTACACTAACATGCTAATTTCTTCAAAGATTAAACTGAAACACTTAAGGTTTTAACGACTATAGACTTAATTAGGTTAATTAAAATACTATTATATTTATTTTTACTTTATGATTGCTCCATTATCATATAATGATATTTATAATAGGAATACAATTTATTATTTATTGAGCATACTATTTTTTTCTAAAACCGTACTTTTACGATTAACTTCATAGAAAATTAATTAGGTGCATATCCTGTGTGGTTTTACCTATATTTTTTTTAGTTTAATAAATACCACCACATAAACAAATACCAACTTATCTTCCAGTCAAAAGTAGGATTAAACACTACCAAATCCCTTTAAGAGAAATTTACTTGTGCTCGAATGCGTTATGCTGCATGCGACACTGTGACTTCAGCCCAAGGAGTTTTCTCTGTCCAAAAAAACCTTGACTTTAACAGGACAGCAATAATAATCTCTCTGGTCAATTCTAAGGAGGCTACAGATTTCAAGACCCTTCATGATTTGGCCTTGCACAACTCTTCTGTTCTCTATTACTTATAGAACTGCAATTCTGGCTGGGTGCGGTGGTTCACACCTGTAATCCCAGCACTTTGGGAGACCAAGGCAGGTGGACTACCTGAGGTCAGGAGACTGCCTGGCCAACATGGCAAAACCATGTCTCTACTAAAAATACAGAAAAAATAGCCAGGTGTGGTGGCAGGTGCCTGTAATCCCAGCTACTTGGGAGGCTGAGGCAGGAGAATTGCTTGAACCCAGGAGGCGTAGGTTACGGTGAACCAAGCTCATGCCATTGCATTAAAGGGCAACAAGAACAAAACTGCATAAAAAAAAAAAAAAAAAAAAAAAAAGAACTGCAATTCCATAAATTCAGGCTATTCTTTGGTGCCTCTATGCTGCTACACACACTGCTTCCTCTGAGGCAGCTGGCATTCTTTGCCTTGATCACCTAGTTAGCTTCTCCCTCTATTTGAAAATTCTGTCCAGAAGATACCTTTCAGGCAAGCATTTATCATTCCTGGTGTCATTATTTGGTATTCTCTCTTTTGCTTGTCTCTGCTATACTCTGTTGAATCATTGTGTGCTATATTCTGTTGTCCACCATTTACTCGTGTTCATTCAATGCCAGCCACTTAGTACTATTCTTACATTCCTGAGAACTGTTTTAGAAAACTCACAAGTTTAACATTGTTATCCACATTTTACAAGCAAGAAAAACTAAACTCTTTGTTCACACTGGCTAATTTGTAGATTCTTAAGAGTTCATGCTAACTAAACATTAATTTCTCCTGAGCTCTACCTAAGGTCTATTTGGTTTTAAAGCCCAGTTTTTATATGTTCAGGTAAATATTTGCTTGTTTCCAGATACATATGAAAAAGCATGGGTGTTAACAAGGGAGAAGAAGAAAAAGGGAGAGGGAGAGACAGAAAATAAGAGAGACTAAGTAAAAAATTATAAAATAATTTCAATATGGCACCCACCATTCTACTCAGTGGGTGAATGACCAAGGCTGAGCATTAGAACAAAGCAAATCTGCTCATCCATGCCATCTCAACCCCTGGAACCTCCTAGAATGTGAGTTTCTTCCAGTTGGAGTATAATTCTAGTATTTAATGCCATGTGTTTATTCTACCTCTTGGCAACTGAGGGCAAGGGAATGACTTCACCTTACTCAGGCGAAGTCATTCTGTACTCAGTTAAAGAAGCAGTGATCTTTTCTGAGCATGAAGCTCATACATCCCACACCGGACTAACTCAGAGGCAGTTCCTCTCTGTGATATTGCACTTTCAAAAGTAAGTTTGTCTTGCACATGGACTTTAGAAACCTACTCTTCTGCATGTTGCAGATGTTTAACAAATATCAGTAGAATGACAGACTGAGTCAATAAAAGAAATACTACTACTCAACATTTGTTTCTGCTCATAGAAGCCTAAATTTTTTAGTGGTGTGTACCTTGTCTCCAGCTTAAAGAACCTGACATTGGAGATTCTAAGAGATCAACTGATATAAGACTACTTTATATAAAGTATCTTGAATGGGGTGAAAACCAAGAAGCATAAAAACCCGCTGCTCTGCTGTATGACAGTTCCCATAGATATACTATAAGCCAAGGTCACATCAGCACTAAGCCAGACCACAGTATTTTGCATTTTCTGATAATGCAGAAAAACATACTTAAAGCCACATTGCTGTTTGACTAGAACACAGGTACAAGATGAGCCTACAAGTGAATCCAAAAGAAATAAAACTACTGTAGGGGAAAAGTTGACTCATTAAATTTCTTTCATCCCAGACGACTATATTAAGAATATTATTTATAACCTTCGCATGTCTTGCTTTTAATCAGATTGCCTTGTGCCATGTTAAAAATTGATTTAATCTTACTTATATCTTATTTGTAAACTGCTTGTGATGTAACCTATTAATTTCTTTTTCAATTGAATTCTATATATGCATTCACACATTTGTTTATCCTCCCATGGATTGTTTTACATCCTAACTCTACATTCAGTATTATGGAGGCTTTTACCCACCAGGATCAACTACCCTTAAACACCTTGCTTTTCTTTCCTGAAAACCCTTGTACTCTATTGGGAATAAACTCTATTGATACTCTTTATATTCTCAGAGTCAATGCATAATTGAGTATAGTTGAGTACAATGTGATTCTAGGTTTTATTCTCCATAAATTGCCTTTTAGCATAGTGATAAAAACATTATTTAACCAAATGTTCCCCTCTATCCTGACTCATGTAGCAGAACAAGAATATACAACACAGTAAGAGTTTCTTTTGAAATGTAATTTTTTAGCTAATTTGGGACACTTTTCAATAAACTCAGTTTATGACAAAAGAACTCTTAGATAAGTAGAGAGATTCATTGAACATTACAACAAGAATTATCAATGGACCTTAACTACAACTAAATACATCACTTCTGTTGTAGTATAAGTTCCCAAATATATGTAATAATAACACATATTTACTTGTGTGGTTAAGGGATAATGTCTGCATACCACTGACTTTTACTAGCAATATTTATGAATTTTATTTAAAATACTTAAATAGTGTAGGGTTCTTAATGTATGAGTTCACATGTTTGGAAAGAATGAGGAGTGAATCTTTACTGAGCCATGACCTTGAGCCAGAGACTCTTTTAGGCCTTATTTATCTCCCTTGATACCAACACTCTCACGTTTTGAGTATTACTGACCTATGTTCCACGTAAAGATGCCTCATCTAGGAAAGTTTAAACACAAGGTTACAATGTTAATAGGTGACCGAAACTACATTTAGCTCTGGATATGTCTTGTTTTAAAATCAGCCTTCTTTGTGAAAGAAAATTTTGTTTGAGATATTTAAAAGAAATTTGTATTTTATAAAGTAAGGAATCCCTTGATGGGATTGTTTAGTATCAGCTAGAAAAAAAAATATTTTTTAAAAGCATACTACTGAATATTGTTGCATCAAAAGTACATTTACCCAAAGATGACATGGAGTAAACACTTTTCTTTATGTGATTATGCAAAATGCTTCATACAAAGGAAATAAATGTTTAAAAGTGATCATTCTTAGCACTCTCCAAAACATTCTTACATTTGCCATGCATAGCATGCATACATTTAAAGCACACCATTACATCAAACATGGTAAACTCCCAAGCTTACGTCCCTGTCCTCTAGAAAATCATGTAGGCATTTGTAAACAAATACCTTACACAGTGTCAAGGGAATCCATTAAAAATGTGGTATACAGAAATTGGATTTCCTTTCCTGAGCACTGCAATGAAGAATGGAAGAGAAAAGTAAGGCTGCTAGCATTTCTGCTTTTGTAAGGATATGTCAGCCCATTCAGAGAACAAATGATCCAATTCAATGAGTGTGCTGAGAACTTATCAATGAGAGCTGACACTCAGCTTGAGCTAAACTTATAAACTGTAGTGCATGTTCAATTTATTTTATCTTCTGCATTTCACTCTGTCACCCCAGCTGGCATTAAGTATAGCCTTCCAAAGGAAATAGTATCTTTCTGAAAGGTTTAGGTGAAACATCATTATATTTCCAAACAAAATGAAAACAACCACCTTGGTAGAGGAACAGCATAAAAACAGAGCAGCAGGAGGTCTGTTATTTTCAAGGGAATTGACAGCCTGAGAAATTCACAGTTCTACATTTAAAATGTCTTTCTTCTTAGGAAAATTCCATGGCCTCTTCTAAAACATCTCGAAAGGACTGTAGACACATTTTTTGGATGCAAGTTACTGATCCATACGAAATGTATTGATCCTTGTACAATAAAAACCACAATAATCTGGGGAAGGTAAAGAAGATAGGAAGGTAATAAATGAGATTTTGGGCTACAGTCATGCAAATCTGGGTTTGAATTTTGATTTTGCCAGTCTCAAGCTATGTAGAATTGGGAAAAGTATTTTCAAAGCCTCAGCTCCTTCATCTGCAAAATGAAGATAATGCATAATACCTATTGTATCTGCATAGTTATTAAAGGGCTTAAATGATAGAATGTACCCAAAATGAAGATTTGCATAATGCGTTCTCAAAAACATTGTTCAGTGCATTTTGACTAGCATTATTATTTATATCACCACAGCTCGTTTCAGTCCCTCATCATTTCTCACTTGGAGAACTGCCTCCTTCAGTCTGTTCATCCTGAAAACTTGGTCAAACTTATGTGATCCTGCCATTGTCTTAATTATTAACCTCTTAGAAATACCCACTATTTATACAGGATGTTTTTCAAACTCCAGGTCATAGTCCATTAATGGGTCATGAATTCAATTGAATGGTGATTCAGGACCAAACTTAAAAGAAGAAAGAATAAAAGAGCATGACTACATAGGGCATAGAAAAATGGAATGGAATGGAATGGAATGGAATGGAATGGA